TTGTCTTCCTCTAACTTATTTTACTTAGTATAATGCCCTCAGAGTTAATCTACGTTGTCACAAATGATGGGATTTCCTTCTTTTTTTATAGTGGAAGATTATCCCATTGTATGTAAGCACTACATTTTCTTTATCATTTATCCATTAATGGGCACTTAGGTTATTTCCATACTTTAGCTATTTTGAATAATGTTTCAGTGAACATGGGGTGGAGGGGTAGTAAATATTGAGATAATAACTTAATTTCCTTTGGATACATTCTCAGAAATGGGATTGCTGGGCAGCCCCAGTGGCCCAGCGGTTTAGCGCTGCCTTCAGCCTGGGGTGTGATCCTGGAGACCTCGGATCGAGTCCCACGTCAGGCTCCCTGCATGGAGCCTGCTTCTCCCTCTGCCTGTGTCTCTGCCTCTCGCTCTCTTGCTCTCTCTCTGTCAGTCATGAATAAATAAATAAAATCTTAAAAAAGAAAGAAAGAAATGGGATTGCTGGTACATAAAGTATTCTATTTTGAAGTTTTTGAAAAAAATTCCTTGTTTTAATCACAATTCCACTGACCAGCCTTACCTGTCATTGAAGACTCCCACCTAAATGAGACACCACTATGGCGGTTGCCAGATGCTGATGCTCTATCTCCCTCGGGTTTTTTTACATTTTTACATTTATGTACTCCTTCTCCCAATCATGCTGGCTCTGTGCTGCTGCTTGTGTTTCTCACACTACTGTGCTCGCTTCGGCAGCACATATACTAAAACTGTTTCTCACACTACCCTACATTCTTGGCTACGAGGCCTGTTGGCCTTTTCCTCTGCATGGCTCCTAACCTTTCTTATGAAGAAATTGACTCATGTCACTGACCACCATGTTGATTCCTCCACTCTGGCAATGTAAGGGAATGGAAGGAATAGGAAGATGAAAAAGAAAGTGACTATATATGATTTTTATAGGTAGAACTGTGGGGAGACTATATTTTAGGCTGAAGGTACTGCCCAACCTTCAGATACAGATGTATTTTGAGAACATTTAATAGATGAGTATGGTACATAGGGTATACAAAATGAAAGATGAGTTTACCACTACCTCACAATATATAACGTATTTTTGTTTACTTGTTTACTGGTTGTCTCTCCCTTTAAAATATAAGTTCCATGAGAACAAAGACTTTGACCTGCCCATTCCTATTACCTTTGTGCCAGAAACAGTGCCTGGCAAACAGTAGGTACTCAGTTATTCTTTGTTAAGTGCATGAAGCTCAGATAAGTAGTTTGCACCCATAGTTTGGAAGTCAGAATAAGAAGACTGAATATAATTCTCTTGGACAGTGGAAGGCTATTAAAGTCTTTATAGCAGGATAGTGAAAGAACCCGAGTTTTAGTAAGATACCTCTAGGGACCATGGGAATGATAGATTAAAAAGACAAAAATTTGGAACCTGGTCATAGTTTAAGGAAACCTTTATTGTCTACATTTTGTGGGACACTTGTTTGAAAGTATAATGATTTTATTTTTATTTCATGTTTTAAAAGATTTCCAAATGTATAAAAAAGGAGAATTTCTTTAAAATTTATAAAACATATGTCCTAGAAAAAGCCTGCCACATGTACAATTTGTCATCTATAATAGTTGCCATACTTAAAAACTATCAAAAATATTTTCCCTAAAATTTTACATCATCACCCTTAAAAATTGCTCTTTTCTTATTTCTTATAAACTGTTTTAAAACACGTCTTAACATTTTTATAACTGATCATATGATTCACCCATTTCTATAGTATAGTACAATATCGTACTTAATTTTAATATAATAATTATAATTTATGGTTTTCACAAATGATTTTCAAAAATGGTTATAAATTTTAGACAGACAAAGCTTTGAATATTGATGATCTTTTTAGTAAATTATTATATCTTAGTCTTAAAAAATTTCAATACAGGGGTGCCTGGCTGGCTTAGTCAGAAGAGTATACAATACAATTCTTGATCTCAGGGTCATGAGTTTGAGCCCCATTTTGGGTGTAGAGATTATTTAAATAAATAAAGAACTGTAAAAAATAAAATTAAATGAAAAAATTCAATACAACAGCATTTATTGAGAGGATTTTATGGGTCAGGACTCTGCAGTGTTTGAAATCTTACCCTACTTACAAGCTAACGAGTTTGCTTATTTTATGGCCCCTAGCAGAAGACACAAGACTCCTGGATCAGAGACAAAGGACTTTATCATCATTGCAAAATCAGTATCCAGACCTTCATATTTGTTTGTCTTGATCTGCCATGCCCCCTCAGTGCCATGAGGGTGACTAAAGGCCCATCATGGATACCTATATACACAGTGTGTTGCATTAAAGGAAGGGTGCCTGAGCTCACCACTTTATTTTATTTTTTATTTTTTAAAGATTTTATTTATTTATTCATGAGAGACACACACACACACACACACAGAGGCAGAGACACAGGCAGAGGGAGAAGCAGGCTCCATGCAGGGAGCCTGATGGAGGACTCGATCACAGGACTCCAGGATCACACCTTGAGCTGAAGGCAGGCGCTCAACTGCTGAGTCACCCAGGCAACCCTCACCATTTTAATAGTAAAGAGTACCAGCCTGCTTCTTGGTGGAGGAAAGGCATTACCTCATCCTTTAAGGTTGCTCACTGCAAACGCAATTCTGAGGAATGGCCTGTGGAAAGAGTGGCCAGGATTTTGCATTCCTCGCATATGCAGAAAGAAGGTGTAGGGACACTCAGGGACCAAGGAGATTGCCTCTTCCAACAGAACTCTGTTAGTGAGGGGGGGAAAAAGGGCTCCTTAAATGAAATTTGATCAAATCTAAAATATAATTTTCTGTGGAAAACCACCAGAAACATTAGTTGAAACTGAGGTATACAACATTACTGCTGTTCCCTCCCCATCTGGATAATGCTACCGATCATGAGTATGACATTGATGAGTGTGTAGAAAATTGGTTGAAAATTTAGTGGGGTTAATTGAAAATCATTATATTAAATGTTTAATATTTTGTAAGTTTATACTTAGTCTTTCTTGGTTAAATATTACTGTACTTCAATGGTTTTTTCCAAACATGATGAAAAAATTATGATACTTCAGAACATAGTAGCTGATGGTAATAACTGCCCCCACAGCACCAATAACATATATATGACATTGCAGGAAGGCCAGAGGTATGACAAGTTTTAGAGCTAGTTGAGTCAATGGCTAAACAAAGTCATCAAAGTTACTTCTGTTTATTTTTAAAAAGCTCATAATCTGTGTACAGACTTTGCCTTTGGCTGACCCTGCTTGTGGTCACCAGATGGCTGTGGCACTTCTTGGCATCACTTCAACACATGGCAATATTCAGAGTCATAGAGGAAAACTCTCTCCTCTGGTGCCCCTGTGTAGAAGCATAGAAAGTTTTACCCCAAGTCCCCCAAAAGATCTTTCCTCATGTCATTCTTGCTAGAACCAATTCCATACCCACCCCTAAAACAATCTGCCCAGAAGAATGGAATCTCTGTGATGGGCTGAGACCAGACAAGAGCTACCCTTGGCACTGGAAACATGATCACCCTGCCCTGAATTCTGTGGGACATGATCCTGAGACTCTGCTAGCAAATAAAAAGGAGGGAAAGGGTTGCAGGGGTGCCCCCTTCAGAGTCTGTGCCAGCTGGTTAGCAAACCAGTGAAGATAGTAGCTCACTTTGTCTTCAGAGTCTATCCTGAAAAGTCTGGTAATTCTACTTGGGCTTTCATGGCATTCTGTTTTTAGCTGACATTTTATTTTTATTTATTTTATTTTTATTTATTTATGATAGTCACACACAGAGAGAGAGAGAGGCAGAGGGAGAAGCAGGCTCCATGCACCGGGAGCCCAACGTGGGATTCGATCCCGGGTCTCCAGGATCGCGCCCTGGGCCAAAGGCAGGCGCCAAACCGTTGTGCCACCCAGGGATCCCTTTAGCTGACATTTTAGGAACTGGTAGTTTTGGTTAAGTTTGATCAAATTGACAAAGAGTGCATCCAGAAAATAGGCTTTCTTTTTACTATTTGAGAAGATTAAAGATCTATCTGAGGTGTTTACAAATGCTTAAGTTCCTTGCCTACTCAGATTTTGCAGGAATGGAGTTTGAAAATCAAATATAGTATGGTGGTGTGATTATCTTAAAGAATAATCCTCAAATTTTTTGGTTTCAAGAACTTTCATAGTCTCAAAAATTACTGGGGACCTCAAAGAGCTTTAGTTTATACCTATTCTTAGTGACCATATTAGAATTTTAAAAGGAGAAATTAATATATGTATATTAATTCATTTATAATAATGGTAAACCAATTCTATGCTAACATAAATAACATATTTTAAAGAAAATGAACTCTATTTTTTAAAACAAGAACTCTAATGAGTATAGTGTCATTGCTTTACATTTTTGCACACCTTTTTAGTGCCTGGCTTAATGCATGATAGCTGAATTTTCGTATCTGCTTCTACATTCATGTCATGCATTCACATAACTTGTAGCTTCTGGATAACTCCACTGAACACTACTGTAAGAGCATGATAGTGGAAAAGGCAAATAAAATATTAATACTATTATGAAAATAATTTTGACCTCGTGGATTGCTTGGAAGAGTGTCCTGGAACCCCTGGTGTTTTCAGGCCACTCTTTGAGAACCACTATCTTGAAGTATTTTTGCTTGATGTGTCTGTGCATAATTTATAATGTCTTTAAAACAGCAGATAGGATATTAAAATGAGGCTCAAATATATCAGAAAATGGAAATAAGATGAGTAGCAGTGGGAAAATATACCACAATTCAGGGAATCTGATAATCCACAGAGTCCTGGTGAAAACCCTAAATCATGAGCAAGTAATTCAGAGCTTTCCTCACTCTACCAGTCCCTTTGAATCTTTAAAACATAATATGATTTACACAAAAATATGTCATAATACATATTTTAAAATAAGTTATCTACTATATAAAGCACTTTTACTCTCCATTTTTTTCCAGACTTACTATTTCAGATGATTTGAAAGTTGGCTTTTTCAGTACAGACCATGCTACTCAAACAGATTACAGTGAAATTCTGCCATTAAAAGAGTTGAGTTCATCTACAGAAAAGCTAATACAGGTAAATCTGGATTTGTTTTCAAACTTCTGAGATCATTATAGGTATTGTTTGTCTTTGTGTCTCTTTCCTTTGCAGAATTTAAATGAGTAAAAATGTTTAAATATTAGCATCTTTACAAGCTGACTTGGATGACAGTTGTGTTTTTTAAAATAATTTGTATAAACTACTCCTTATATTTATGTCATGTTTATATATGTTAACCTGTTTAGTGAAGTGGGTTGTTACTCTTTTTGGAATTCTTTTGACATCTGTCAACATTTTCTATTTATGATACTTTTTTAAGAATTATAAAAGATTTTTGAATTGTAGAAAATGTGGAGAGTAATATGATGAATAATTGTGTTACCCTCATACAATTTTGTCAAATCTTGACATTCCACCATTATTTCCTTTGGATCTTTTTTGATTGTAAAGAAACAGAACATCTCATACACATCAGATATGAAGAGTTATTAAAATCTCTAATCCATAGAACTCTCATGAGATAGCATACTACTACGAATACTCTTGTTTACTTTGCTTCTGTTTTTTCACTTAACAATGTAGAAAATCATTCCATGTCGGTACATAATTTTCTCATCATTTTCACGAGTATATCCTATTATAAAATGTCATCATTTATTTAGCTCTCCCCCTATGAATGGACACTTTAGTTGTTTCAAATCATCTACTGTGATGAAGAATTCTGTACATACTCATAGGCCAACAAATCTGTAGCATAAATTTAAAAGTGGAATGTCTGAGACAGAGAATGTATGCATTAGCATTTTTTTTTTGCATTAGCATTTTGAAGCATGTTGCCAAATTGCCCTGCTGGGAGATTGTACAATGTGCACCCCTACTAGTAACTTTTGGAGGTGTCTCTTTTCTTTCATGCTTGTTAGTTACCTTTTCTAATAATACCTTCCCAAAAGTTTTATAACTTTATTTTCTTGCAACTGGGCACATCCAAATGAGTAAATTCTGGTCAGTAGAATTACATGGAAATGTTATATGGCAGCTTTGGGGAAGCTTCTTGAAGAAACAATTCACATGCACTTACTTTCTGCTACTTCACTTCTTTCTCCTCCTCTTCTTCCTTCCCCTTTCCTTCTTTCCTCACTCCCTCCTTCCCTCTTTTCCTTTCCTTATTTTTGTGCCTAGAACATGGATGCTTCCGTTTGCACGATGATTCTGAGGCAGTATACACAGCATAGTAATAAGGTAGAAGGATCTTGGGGGTTTTTCACCACTGACTGCCTACCACAATTTCTAGTGAAAGAGAAATAAAATTTATTTCTCTTTTGTGCTTCTGTTATTTGGATTTTTAAAATATAGCTGAACCAAATTCTGATACACATGCTTAAATCAGATTAAGGATGTTTCCTCTATTTTTAATTAATTAAAAGCATTTAAAAATCATGAATGAAAAAAAAAATCATGAATGACCTGATTTGAATGCTTTCCATACTATTGAGTCATATGGCTTTTTTCCTTTATGTGATGATGTGAACACTGACTTTTGAATAGTAAACGTGGAATGAACCCAACTGGACTATAATGTTTCTTTTGCTTTCCACATCATTTGCTATATTTCTACTAATGATTATTCTCCATTTATGTTCATAAGAGACCGTCCTATACATTTATCTTTTCTTCTTATACTATTGTTCACTCTTGGTACCCAGATCATAGTACTTTCATACAATGAGTTGGGAGATGTTCCTCAGTCTATTCTCTGGAATGGTTGGCATGAAGTTAGAATTATCTATCTATCTCTTCAGTGTTTGTTAGAACTTCCTTGTAAAATTGCATGTGCTTATTTTTATTGCTATTTTTATTTTGTTATGGATATAGTATGGTTTTCTTAAATATTCTTGGGTCAGTTTTGACATTATATTTTTCTATAAAAATATTTATTTTGCCAAGTTTTCAAATTATAGGCATAATGTTGACTGTCTTCTCATTAGTTTTAAATCTTTATTGTGTCTGTAGTTATATTTAAAAAAATACTAATATTAAAAAAATGAAAATAAAATGCTAATATTGTGTGTATACCTCTTCTTTTTTTTCCTAGAAGATCTTGGAAGCTATATCTCTCATTATTATTAATTATTATTATTATTATTTTAACTCAAATAGAAATCATTGGTTTTTATGGTCTGAATAATAAAAGGACAGCACAGTCACAGACACTGAACGTGATCGTGTGGGGTTCCTAAAAAAAAAGAACCAAAGAGAAGGAGCATAAAATCTATATGTAAACTCAGAAAAAACCTCTGGGTGATCCCTGAAACACACGCATGTGGAGCACGCGCACATCTGAGGTTTTATAAACCTCAGATTTATAATCCTGTCTATCATATCTTTATTTCTAGTTCATAAATTTCATATCTTTATTATTTAACTGCTTTTACTATTTTGGGTTCACTTTGTTTTCCTTTTTCTAATTCCTTGAGTTGGATCTCAGTAACAATTATGATATCATATAGCTCTATTTTAGAGAATGCAACAATATCGGCTTAATCAAATAAGTCATATATATTATTTTCCTTTACTTCATTGTGCATAATTATAATAGCTGCTTTAAAATCTTTGCCAATGCTTGTGTAATACTGGTGTTGGTCTCAATCATTTTTTTCTTGGGACTGAATCACATTTTCCTGGGATTTTTTTGTTTTTTGTTTTTGTTTTTGTTTTAAATATCAGGTAATTTGAATTATATCCTGGATATTGTGAATGTCATGTTCTGGCTTCTAATATATATGTATATTCCTTCAGAAGACTGTTGATGTCTGTATTTTGGCACATAATAAACTTGTTTGGATTCCAACTGCAAATGTATCTTGGTTGACAGCCCAAATCTCACAGGCTGCTTACAGTGTGCTCCATGTGCATGTGTTTCAGGGATCACCCAGAGGTTTTTACTGAGTTTACATATAGATTTTATGCTCCTTCTCTTTGGTTCTTTTCTTTTTAGAAACCCCACATGATCACATCCAGTGTCTGTGATTGTGCTGTCCTTTTATTATTCAGACCATAAAAACCAATGATTTTTATTTGAGGTTTAGCTGCCTTTTGAGGTCACTGAACATAGCTACCCAGCAGGCATCTCACCCTGCATCAGTTCCTTCCTCCAATTTTTCAATCCCCTCCAGGATTCTCCTGCTTCTGTTTATTCTCCAGTGTCTTCAAGTTGTTGGTTGTGTTTTGTTCATATTTTATCTAGAGTTTATAGTGCTCTCTGGGAATCTTCAATCCAGTGAAGTTTGTTTGACCATACAGGATTTCCATGCCTCTCTTTTGCAGAATATGCAATTCATCTAGAACTGGGTCTTCTATAGGCAAAGTCATCTCTGCCTGTTCTGGGAATTTAAGGAATTACTTATGACATCACTTGCTTTCAAATATTTTTAAACATGATTTCTCAACATAGTACTCTTTATGAGTTGACAACAGGGTATAAAGAAATAGGGGGATGAGACAGTCATAATTTTTCAAATCTGGGCCTTCCATTACTGGCTGTGTAATGTTGGATTAGACAGTCACTTAACCACTTAAAGTCTTGTTATCCTCATCTGCAAAATAAAATCTTTCCTATAGTTTCAGGATACTAAAATGAGATGTTTTTCAGGATGCTAGTACACCAGGTATCAAATTCCAAAGTGAGTTTGAGTTAGATCCCATTTGCAGAATTTACAAAAGGAATGTTGCATATCAGATCCATGACTCTTAGCTTTTGAAGTAGATCAAGGACAACAAAAATAAAGGAGTCAGGAGGTGAAGAGGCAAAATTACTGAAGTGATCGAGAAAGCTCTATTGCCATGCTCTTTATAGGGTAAGAGGTACCAGAAGTGATCTTCCTCAATTTAAGGCTAGTAAGGCAGCCTTGTATGAAACCTGAAGTATGTTTGCTGCTTTTGGAAGACACAGGGGACTGGTGTTGATCCTTACATAAGGAAGCTAAGGGTTATGGGATGAGGAATGTGTGATTATTTCCCATGGACCATACATGGCCTTTGAAAGAGTGAGAGAAAGTGCATCATCATGAGGTCATTCTGGGCCCTATCTAGTAGAATGATCTAAAAGGACAGAGGACCCTCAAAAGCAAGGAGAAGAAAAAAAGAGCTCTATATTCATAGGAGTTTAGGAAAGAATAGCAATGATCACCCAGTCTTACTTGGATGTGTTTAACTTTTATTAATCATATTCTAAATGCCACTTTGAGTGACAGTAGGACTTCCTATTCTGAAAAATAAGTAGAAATGTCATGGAATTGCCTAAAGTTTCCATTCAGGGCAGGGGGAAGATTGCCTAGTGAATACATTTTAAATAGTTGGTGGAAGACAAAAACACAGTGTATGTTTTAATGATCAGAAATTATTAGGGATCCCTGGGTGGCTCAGCGGTTTAGCGCCTGCCTTCGGCCCAAGGTGTGATCCTGGAGACCTGGGGTCGAGTCCCACATAGGGCTTCCTGCATGGAACCTGCTTCTCACTCTGCCTGTGTCTCTGCCTCTCTTTCTCTCTCTCTCTCTCATGGATAAATAAATAAAATCTTTTAAAAAAATGAAATGATTCTTAGTCAACATGCTAGTTATGTATTTAAGTGCTTGGCTAGTAAATTCACAAAGAATATTAATTTTTGCCTATCTTTTCTGATTTAATATCCACATCTTCGACTATACCTTTCGAGGTATGATAAAGGGTTGATGTTAGCCACAGGTATTTTATTCTGTATGAGAAGAAACTGCCAGGCACCTTCTCTCCCTTACTCCATTAGCATATGTCAATGTAGCAGATTAACTAGAGTTCTCCAATGTACCCCATATTACAGAGGTTTTCTTAAAAGGCAGGACAGGCCCCCCTGACTACATTCCAGGTAATATGCCCATGTTAGGAAGGAAAATTTTTTCTTTAGCCTTCAACATTCTTTTTTCTTTTTTTTAAAGATTTTATTTATTTATTTATTCATGAGAGACACAGAGAGGCAGAGACACAGGCAGAGGGAGAAGCAGGCTCCCTGCAGGGAGCCCGATGTGGGACTCAATCCCAGATCCCATGATCTCGCCCTGAGCAGAAGGCAAATGCTCAACTGCTGGGCCACCTGGGTGTCCCACCCTTCAACATTCTTCTAGCTGGTCTAAGAATCAAATTGACAGGAGACAGATTAACAGGAGAAAAACAATTTAGTAATATGTATAGCTCCTGACTACATGGGAGAGACCCAGGAAAACTGAGCAACTCTCTGAAATGGCTGAAGCCATAACCCTTTTTTTTTGGGGGGGGGGGTGAAGCCATAACCTTAAATAGCCTCTTCAACTAAAGATAAAAGATGTCAGAGGATGAGAGGAGCAGTTATGGGAGTTTATGAGGAAAAGCACAGTATACAAGGGGATGGTGGTTATGCAGATTTAAGTCAACCTAAGAGTTTCTAGAGATTTTAACTCATCCCCCTCTTGCTGGTATAGCTAGGGAGACAGCCTTCACAAGTGGAGATTTCCCTTATAAATTAGAGCTTTTCCTGTTTGCAATTTCTTTTTAAGTAAAATCTTTTTTTTAAATTATTTATTTATTTATTATAGTCACACAGAGGGAGAGAGAGAGAAGCAGAGACATAGGCAGAGGGAGAAGCAGGCTCCATGCACCGAGAGCCCGACGTGGGATTCGATCCCGGGTCTCCAGGATCGCGCCCTGGGCCAAAGGCAGGCGCCAAACCACTGCGCCACCCAGGGATCCCCCCTGTTTGCAATTTCTTAAAAATAATCAGCCTAAAATAATCAATATGCTAAAGAGGCATATCTTAAGGTGCAAAATTTGCTTCTCTACACCCGGAAACAGGTAATGTGCTAGAACCTTTACACAGAGCACCCTTACTCCCTGCAATAATGTATGTTTTTCCATTTTTAGATTATTAGATCTCTTCAAGTGGATTTTGGGTTCCTCAAACAATTGCTTCAGTTGAAATTTGAGGACCGTCTTAAAGAAGAATCTTTCAGTCTCTTCACTGCTCTACATGACAGGATCCTAAAAATTGAAAAACATTATCAAGAGGTACATGCTCTCTCATTTCCTTTATTTTATATTTATTTGTTTTAAATTTCTTTTGCTATTTTTGTTCATTCCAGGTAATTTTTGCAATTTTTTAAAACTATTTTATTTATTTAGTTATGAGAGACACACAGAGGGAGGGAGAGACATAGGCAGAGGGAGAAGCAGGCTCCCCTCAGGAACCCAATGTAGGACTCAATCCCAGGACCCTGAGATGACAACCTGAGCCAAAGGCAGATGCTCAACTACTAAGCCACCCAAGTGTCCCATTTCCTTTGTTTTATATGCAGATTGATCTTGTGCTTAGATAGGTATGTACCACAGTTTTGAATTTAGCAACTCATGAGGGCAATTAATTTGCATGTGTTGTGTCTCATACAATACCTTTACTTTGTGTCAGGAACTTTGTCAGTGCTCTGTATACAAATTAATTTAGTTTTCACACTAACCTCATAAAGTAGATGCAATTATTATCTCTCTTTTACGGATGAGGAAACTGAGGCCCAGGAAGTTTAATTAACTTGCTCAAGGCCATCAGTTAAAAAAACAGCAGAGTTATTTTCCTGGCCAGACAGTTTGGTGCTTGAGATCTGGCTCTTAGGCATACAATTTTACATGATATTATTAGTGCTTATTATCTCTGTAGGAGCCAAAGGCTTGAAAACTCTGCGGATTCCAGGAATTTCCTAAAATCTTTGCTCAGGTTAGCGTATTTATCTGTCATTAAGAACAGGTACTGGGCAGCCCTGGTGGCTCAGCAGTTTAGCGCCACCTTCAGCCCAGGGCGTGATCCTGGAGACCCGGGAACGAGTCCCATGTCAGGATTCCTGCATGGAGTCTGCTTTTCCCTCTGCCTGTCTCTGTCTCTGTGTCTCTATGTCTCTCATGAATAAATAAATAAAATTAAAAAAAAAAAAAGAACAGGTACTGCTAGTCCTCAGTTAAAAAACAAACAAACAAGGGTACCTAGGTGGTTCAGTTGGTTAAGCATCTGACTTTGCTCAGGTCATGATTCCAGGGTCCTGGGATGGAGCCCTGTGTCAGGCTCCCTGCTCAGTGGGGAGTCTGCTTCTCCCTCTGCCCCTCCCCCTGCTCATGCTCACTCATATGTGGAATATAAGAAAAAGTGAAAGGGATTATAAGGGAAAGGAGGGGAACTGAGTGGGAAAAATTAGAGAGGGAGACAAACCATGAGAGACTCCTAACTCTGGAAAAAAAACAATGGGTTGCCGAAGGGGAGGTGGGCAGAGGGATGGGGTAACTGGGTGACAGGCACTGAGGAGGGCACTTGATGAGATGACCACTGGGCGTTATACTATATGTTGGCAAATCTAACTTAAATAAAAACAAATGTAAAAAAAAAAACCAACAACAAAGAACAACTCCTTTTCTATTGATCCCACCATTCTGAGACCACAGGAAGCCTTTAAATGTGTTTCCTCAAGTCCCTCAATAATACTTAAATGAAACCCAATTATTCCTGATCTACAGATAAGGAAACTGAGATAGTAAGGTTAAGTAGCCTGCTTCAGGTCAGACAGATTGAAAAGTGTCACAGTGATATTGAAATCCAATTCTGTCCGACTCTACAGTGTAATCATAGTTTCCACTCCATGCTAGAATCAGAAATGAAATCAGAATCAAGGTTTGTGGGGGATTTTTATGTGCTGTCTTTCATTGTTATCCAAAAACAATGGTCAACTGGTTTGATTAATCAAAAATGACTGGTCTAGATTTCTTTTTATGACCATATCCCATTAAAATTACAAGGACTAGGAGAGAAAATGATTACAAATAGATTATACTATTTTTAAAAGCAATTCTAGGAAGACAGTAAGAAGACTTAAATACATAAAGGGAAATAAAATGTTCACAATATCTGTATTTATTTTATCCATTTGAGCTCTCCATTGCTTATAATTAAGTATAAGTAAAACTTGAATATAGTGTCAGCAACTGAGTGGCTCAGTCAGTTGGGTGGCTGGCTCTTGATTTCAATTCCAGTTGTGATCTAAGGGTTGTGAGTTCGAACCCTGCATCAGGCTCTGTGCTCAGTGCGGAGTCTGCTGAAGAGTCCCTCTCTCCCTCTCCTTCTGCTCCTTGCCCTGCTCACACGTGTGCTCTCTCTCTCTCTCTCAAAAATAAATAAATAAATCTTTTAAAAAACTTGAATGCAGTGTAATAGCTATAGTGTAGGATAAATGATTACAAATTGGACTTTTCACAGGATTTGTGATGATCTGAGCAATAGTTTTATACTGAGTCCCTTAGTGGGTATGAGACTCATATTTGGAAATACACTGTGGTGCTCATTGTACTTATTTTTGGTTTGCAGAATGAGGACACCATAAGAAAATGCTACAATCAGCAGTTGGCTGATGCCATAGCAGTTATCAAAGGAATGTACAAGGTGGGTGTCTAGTGCTATCATGGGCAAGGCCAGCTTTACATCCTGTGAGTGCACAGAGCGGGCTCGCTGGTGGTTCCCAGTCTGTGTTTTTGGCTTTGAAGATCTGTCTACTCCATTTTCAGGTCAGTGAAAAGGGATCGGGCCCAAGAGTGTTCACACTCATGTTAAATTGACCAAAATAACATTTTATGGTGACAGATCTGACTTTGCGGAGACTGGGGAATTCCAATTTAGTGTTCAGGTAAGTGAGGAAGCAATCCAAAGTTTGTTTGGTGGGATGCCTGGGTGGCTCAGTGGTTGAGCATCTGCCTTTGGCTCAGGTCATGTCCTGGAGTCCCAGGATCGAGTCCCACATTGGACTCCCCACAGGGATCCTGCTTCTCCCTCTGCCTGTGTCTCTGCCTCTCTCTCTCTCTCTGTCTCTCATGAATAAATAAATAAAATCTTTAAGAAAAAAGAAAAACAACAAAATCTGATTGGTGAGCATGCAGTTGGATAGTTTAGGTAGTCTCGGAGAGTTCATTGCGATTGTCATAAATCCCAATGAATGGTCTCTGACCCTTGGTGGAGTAACTTTTCTACTGACGAGGACACATCTGTCTGCCAGATAGGGTGCTTCACTCTCCTACACAATGGGAACATTCATAGTTTTCGATGATTACCTTTTAGGCATAGTAAGGACCTTGAAGGACCTTGTGCTTCTTTTAGATTCTATAACTGTAATCTTGACTTTCATTTCAATAAACTACTGGGAAGAAATATTTTTTTTATTATGGCAAATAGTGCATCATTGATTGCATACTTCTTTTCATAGCATTTATCACATTTGTATTTAATTATTTAATTGCCTGTTACATGTTCTGTTCCATGCCAGACTGTAAGCCTTATGAGGGCAGGGATGTTGTCTGTCTCATTCACTGCTCTGCCTGCCTCTTAGCACTGTGCCTGATGCATAATTAACAATCAGCTAATAATTGCTAAATGAATGGATAGTTGCCTGTATGTGTGGCAGATACTGATGACTCAACAGTGATTATCCCTCTTTCTTTTTTTATTAGCAGAAGTGCTTCTTACTATGAAGCCAAAATGCTAGATCTTTTCTTTCCTTGATTCCCTTTCAGATATGATATGAACATAGGCAAGATCAAGTGCCCAACCAATGTGACCTGAAGCTAAGTTGGCTGTGAGGTTTGGGGAGGAGGTTACTCTATAATTCAGAGTCTTATGGGAATAAATACCTTTTTTTTTTTCTTTGCCTGCCATTTTTGTCTCCTTCTGATGCTTGGAACTACTGCAGCCAACCTACTACCAAGGACTGAAGCACTTTGGATGTGCTAGAGGTAGCAGAGTGGAAAGATAGAAAGCACTAGGGTCCTTGATGACATCATTGAACAACTAAATAACTCTGACTTGCCCTGTCTCTGGCCCTTCATTTAATGAGATAATACACTTTTAGTGTTTAAGTCACTGGTAGTTGCCAGTTCAGTAATTCATAGCTGAAAATATTCTAGGACTGCTCTGTCAACAGTCTCCATGATTCTGTGCTGATTGTGTTTCCAAAAGTGGCTGCAACATCATCTCACTCATGTGCAGTGTTATCTCCCACACAGAGGTGGAGCCTAACTCCTCCTCCACAAATATGGGCTGGCCTCAGTGCTTGCTTTTATAGGTATAGAAGATAAAGGAAGTGAAACTGCACCAGCTCAGAGGCTAGGTCAAAAGAAGCCTTGCTACCTCATTCTCATACTCTTGGAACATTTGCTCTCCGGATTCACCCTCTCTGAATCCAGCCACCATGTTGTGAGAAGCTCAAACTGTTTGGAGGATCTACATGTGGGTACTGGATCCACAGGCTCAGCTGAACTCAGCTGTCTAGTCATCCAGCCCCCAGCCATTTTGTCTTTCCATTTGAGGTCCCAGGCATTATGGAGCAAAGAGAAGCCATCCCATTGTGCCAGTCTTAATTTCCTGCCCCATAGAGCTTGTGAGCATGAAAAACAGTTGTGGTTTTATGTCACAAAGGTTGGGGAGATGTATTATGGAGCAATAAATAGCTGGCCTGGTTTCCTTACACTCACATCAATAAGCAACTGCCAAATTCTCTTTGTTGGACAGATGACTTCTCTAGTAGTACTGCCGGCACCACCGAGCATCGTGGTTAAGAGTTAGCATAATGTGTACCTTAGAACAGGGATCCTGGCTGACATTAGACTACTTGGGTTAGAATCCTCGCACTGTCACTTTATCATTATGGGACCTTAGGGAAAATACTGAACCTCTCTGCCTCAGTTTCATCATCTGTCAAATGAGGATCATGATAGCGCCCCCCTCATAAGCTTGTTATGAGGATGGAATGAATTGATTCTGTGAAGCACATACAATAGTTCCTGGCACAAGATAAGTGCAGTCTAAGTGTCTGCTAAATAAATGAACATTTCACATATTCATGACACTCCTTGGTACTGGTCATTTCTTCTGCCCCTATATTATCTTAATATTTAGTCTTGTAGCTTTCTATTCACTGACTATATATGTCAGATATAGGAAAGTGCCCCTAAGATATCTGTAGTAATATTTGTCAATATTTGTTATGTTGAACCATATGACATTGCCACTTTAGAATCCCAAAATGTTGAATATCAGCAATGTCATATGCTTCAATGTGATAAACATACTTCTTTTAACAGATAATGGCAGCAACGTGTTGCATAAAATATTAGGCTGTAATAACTTAAAGTAGAAGAAATTCATTTTCAATTCAACCAAACACATGTTGAGTGAATACTGTGTGCTGAGATATGGTGGACACTGACATTACAAAGGTGAAAGAGAGAGGAACAGGGCCAGATTATAAACTCAGCCGTAATAGACTTTGTTCAGTGCAGAGATAAACATATAACAGGAATTATGGAAACACCATAAAGGGAGCAGTTATTTTTGCCTTCATGCTTTGGGAAGGCTTCTCAGAGAAGGTGATTTTTGTGCTGAGTTTTAAAGTTGGTAGACTCTCAGTTGGTAGATAAATACAAAGGGATTGTAGGTAGATGGCATAGTGTCTATTAGGATATTTTCCATGGCAAGTGATATATATCGAATTCACACTGGCATTAGTTAAAAGAATTTATCAGGGGTTTCCTGGGTGGCTCAGTGGTTTGGTGCCTGCCTTTGGCCTGGGGCGTGGTCCTGGAGTCCCGGGATCGAGTCCCGGGTCAGGATCCCGGCATGGAGCCTGCTTCTCCCTCTGCCTGTGTCTCTGCCTCTATGTGTGTGTGTGTGTCTATCATGAATAAATAAATAAAAAATATTAAAAAAAAGAATTTATCAGTTCATGTAACTATAAAGTGTAGTGATAGTAATGACTTTAGGAAAAGCTGGATCTAAGTGCTCAAATAATGTTATCATGAAACTGTCCCCTGCTTCTTCCTTCTTCTCTGATGGTGTAATTTCCAGGCAGGTCCCCTTCACGTGAGAGCAACCTTAGAGAGAGTATCTCTTTCTAAATAGTTCCTACAAGAGACTCAAGACTGACCCTGATATGGCCTACTTATTGTCCTCCACCCCCACCACAAGCCAAGCCAGAGTGACATATCAAGGACAGGGTTTACTCAAATGGAAAAGAGAGGTTTTGCTACCTAAAGGGGGGTATGATGGGTAGGCAAAACTGGTTAGGCAAATTGGCTTCCCACTTCCAATAGCATATGAAAAAGCAAATAGGACCTGGACAAAGTTGGTGACTGTTGCATTGCCCTACATGGTAGCCAGTAGCCACAGGTAGCTATTAAAACTGAAGCTGAGGGATGCCTGGGTGGCAGTGGTTGAGCATCTGCCTTTGGCTCAGGGTGTGATCCCCAGGTCCTGGGATCGAGTCCTGCATTGGGTTCTCCTCAGGGAGACTGCCTCTCCCTCTGCCTATGTCTCCGCCTCTTGTGTCTCTCATGAATAAATAAATAAAATCTTAAAAAAAACCCAAAAACCTGAATTTGGAATTAAATTAAAAAATCAGTTCCTGGGTTGCATTAGCCATAGATTACCCAGCAATATTCTGTGAAACTGAATAATTTAGGAGAATTCATGAAAGTTTACACAGGTACGTTTGATTTATTTTATTTTACTTTTATGTTTTTATTAATAATAGTAAAAAGCTATGCTTTGTTGGGTGCTTTCTTTGTACCAGGCACCATACAAGGGAGTTTAGATCTGTCATTTAATTCAATCTTTGCATGAGCAAGTACCAAGAACTGGGGCCCCACAGCAATTCCTCCTCAATCTCTGATGTGGCACAGAGTGGTGGTAAAAACAGGAACCGTGTCACAGCCTCGTATTTTTACTTAGTGCTCTTGCTAATTACAAGGTAAATTAGACAGCTATGGAAGTGCCTGTGCTACCTGGCTTGTCCAAAATGTGGTGCGGAGAGTTGAAGTCCAAGTATCTTTTCCCTGGCTCAACCCTGATGAAGTAAGAGTTTTAAGTGGGCAGTAGTATCTTCATTGGCTAACTTAGGAAACTGAGCCATGGTGACATTAGGCAACTTGCCTGAAGCCACAGAGATGGTTGGTGGCAGAGCTCGGAGTCCAGTTCCCACCTTTACCTCTGCAGTTGTTCCACTGAAAATGAGCAATGTTTGAGTTTTTTGAGCAGGAACAAGAGATGCCTCTGTACTCTTCAGGATGGTTACTCCCGAAACGGTATTAAAGTGCATTGGAGAAATGGAGACACAGATATTCATTCCAGGAAGACAGAAACCACAAAGAGGCTCCCCAGTGCCCAGCACAGTGCTTGGATTTTAATAAATATTTATTGGAGAGAGACAGAAGGAAGAATGAGAAAGAGGGAAGGAGGGAAGATGAGCTGCTATCTGTAGTTTAAGGTAGAATGTTAGGGATGCCTGGGTGGCTCAGTGGTTGAGTCTTTGGCTCACGTAGTGATCCCAGGATCCTGGCATCGAATCTCCCATTGGGCTCCCCATAGGGAGCCTGCTTCCCCCTCTGCCTGTCTCTGCC